GTAACAAGTGACAAGATAGCAAGTAAGTATCCCAATGCTTAATCCTGCTAATGACAAATCGGTGATACTTCTTATAGTGATTAAAGCGCTCTTCGGGACACAGGGACTATCGCCAGGTTACTTTCACCATGATTCATTGAAGTACGTTCATTGCCTTGATAAGTGTTATGTGGGTGAATGAGAGCTAAGGTACTATCCTAACTTGAACAAATACCTACTTATGATTATACTCTCCATGCAAGCATCCGCAACTACAAGAGAAGTAATTAAGATAAATCTATCCATAGCATTAAGCAACTGGATCCAAAACAGCCCCTTACGGAATAATTCATAAACTGGGATTTATGTTCTATCACTCCTGTAACCCATCATCTACAAAATAATTCCACAATGCCTTCCCCTATCCCAAACATGGTGAAGTGTCATGGAATCGACATTCACATAACACGACTAGAGAAAGAACAACACAACATAATATCAAAACATTAAACGTGCATCAACTTCACATGATTACTAGCAACAAGGCTTCTCTCGTGTCCACAAGAATAAATAGAGCTACTTACAAATCATCATATTGATGACGAAAAAGGGTTTCCCCCCCGCTTTATATTATAAAGCACCAACACAACATCAAAGCATCCGATACAAACGCACGCCACACACACCCAAGGCAAGATACACGAATGTCGGGCACCGACACACAACCTCAACGACTACAAGGCACCTAGAAGATGAGCAAAATGGATCCGCTTAGAGCCGACGGACACCACCACCATGAGGAGCTTCACCTCCTCTGCCGCCACCCCGGTCCGCGATCGCCCACAGCCATGCTACCCGAGCGGCCATGGTTTCCTGCGCCCATCCGAGCCACGCAATCCGCCCATGATCAACATGACTCCCACTGCCAGGGCTGCCGCCCCGCCGTGAGACCACCCCGAATCTACCAAAGGCCACGACTTTGCCTAGATCCGCGACCCCAACCACCTCCAAAATTACCGATGGCAAACCTGCCTCGAGAAGGGCCGCGACCACATTGACCGGGGGAAGGGGAAGGCGGAGAAGTGGCCCATGGCCACGACTGACTCC